GGGGAGGGGGGGAGTTTTAAAATAATAAAATTCTCATCGCCTTCTTATGACAAGATATATAAGGTAGAAAATTTTGAAAGACATTCAGTTGTTTATTTTGGGAAAGAAGGGAGGAGAGAATTTGCTAAGGAAGAATCTGTGAGAAAGGATTTTTGTGTGAAATTGCTGAAATTGATTTTGTGCAGTTGTGTTCATCTTCACAACTTTGCACATAAGGTGAGTTTTACAAAAGATTTTGAATTTGAATATGATATTGTTGTTAATATACTGGTTTACATGTTAATAATAATTCAAAGTTATGAACATAAATGTTGTATGTATATATTCTATTGTTCTTATGCATGATCCGATGAGGGACACTCTGTTGTCCGATGAAGGACTCTTATTGTGCATATGTTGTCTGATAAGTACAATTATTATTTTTAGTATTGTTCGATAAGGATCTTTATCGAACAAAAGTTTATCTAGTAAGGACCTTCGGACAAGACATTGTCCAGTAAAGACCTTTATCAGATAAGGCATTGTCTGGATTGGGAATTTCATTGCCCAAGTATTAACCAAATTGAGTGTTTAGGATTTCAAGTATTGACCAGATTAGGTGATTCATCACCCAACGCTTTGTCCGGTGAAGGTGTTTATCAGACAAAGCATCATCCGGATTGAATATTTATTATTTAAGCATTGACCGATGAGGATGTTATCAGTCATAATGTTGACCAGTGAGGATGTTCACCAATCATAGTATTAACCGGTGAGGGTGTCTTGTCACCCAGGTACTGTACGATGACTGTTGTTCGGATTAGATGTTGACCGATGAGGATAGTTCATCGCCCAAATGTTGTCCAATGAGGGTTGTTATCGCCCATTATGTGTCTTTTAAACACTGTTTTAAATTGAGGAAGGTACTGTTTCTTTCAAACATGTTGAGAAAGGTAAACTGTTTTTGGAAGCCGTTTTGAGATGACATTGGACTTAGGTTTAAAACTGTGAAAGTTCTTGATATAAAGTTTCTGAGATTAAACTATTTTGAGGCCACTATTGGCTAAAATATCAAATTTGATTACATTTTTTGAGGAAATAAGGGTGGCATATCAAGAAGAGGTGTACCTAGGATAAGGGTAACATATCAAGGAGAGGTGTACCATGAGATAAGGGTGACATATCAAGGAGAGGTGTACCATGGGATAAGGGTGACATATCAAGGAAAATTGTATCTTGGGATAAGAGTGACATATCAAGGAGAATTGTATCTTGGGATAAGGGTGGCAATTGTGAGATCTGTATTACAGTTATAACTCTTGTCATCACATCCATAAGATATGATAATTAAAAGTTAACATTTCTTTGTGATATGGAGACTTGGAGTTATTGCTCTTATTGAAATGATAACAATGATGTTATTGAGAAGGGGAAAATGGCTAATAGCCAAGGCATTAATTGCCTATGTTTCAAATAAGCAAATGTTTTGGGTTATCGGATATTACAATTTGACTGTTCAAAAGAGTAAAAACTTGAAATAAAACCCATAGGATCTTTGGTTATAATTAAATTCAATTTTCTTTTGAGTTCAAAACAGTTCTTATTTTAAAAGGTTTAGTTAATAACCAAGAGCTCTGGTTGATAGTATTTCTTTATATGATTTTGAAAGTTGAGGTTATAAACTCTGATCTTTATGAGTTTTAAGAGCTTTGGGAACTATGTACCGAATGATTATGAGAACCTGAGTGGTTGTATTTCCTATGTGATAAGACATTTATATCTTGCAGTTTGTTTGTGATACTGGAGCTATATTTATCAAAGTTGTTGGATGTTCAAATGTGATTTTATAACAGATTTTGGTGATTTTCATCCTGTAATTGCAAATAAAAGAAATTTCTCACTAGAACTCAAGGTCTAACCCACATTTTGTATTTTCAAAAATGTGCATTGCAGGTCAGGCTATGTCCACGGATAAGGGAAATGGGAAAATGTGAATTTTCCTATCGTGCTTACTTGATTTTATGAAAACCAGTATGTTATCTGTTGACTTTTTGGAACACTGCTTTCTATACCAGTTATGTACAAGAATGTTATTTTTGAAAATTTTTGGCTGTAAATTATGTAATATAGTTTCTTGTATTGTTGGGATCGAAGATGTACTATTTGTATTTTCTGATATATAAAATACATGATTATATGCAAATGTGGAAAGTGAAGTATTGCATGTTATGAGTTATTTTTGGGAACTTATAGTTGTTTAGGCTTTGATTGAATAAGTTCACTCTATCTAAACAAAAAAATAATAATGGTTACATGTGTTATTCACTTGATATACATTTTAACTAGCCAAAAGAATTGAAATTGGCTTATCCCCAACATATATAAAATAATGACGACCTAAGGAAGCTTTAACCTAGATCTAAGCTTTAACATATATATTTGAATGGTTACATGTGTTATTCACTTGATATAAAGAGTGGACCCGTAAAATAAATAATATAAGAATATAAAACTAGTAAATCCATACATCTTTCGTTTTGAACATATAGTTAGATCTTTAGGGTTCCTCCTTATAATCAGTTCGAGTCGATCCCACAAGACAATTGAGGATTTCCCTAACTGTTCTTTAGGATTCTTGGAATTAGTCGAGGTGTGTGCAAGTTGCCTTGAACACCGACAACTAAGGAAATGAAGAAAAAAACTTGCATTTTTTTTCAAAAATAAACTGTAAAAGATATGCTCCCTCCATCCAAAAACACAACAATTTTTCTTTTTGCATAAAAATATATGTTTTTCCAGGAAAATACATCAAGATTAAGAATTCTTTTTTCTTTGTTAGTAATCATTACATGATATCATGACTAAATATACTTTTCAAAACTCCCAAGAAGGTGATTGACTCCTTGGAGAAACTAAGAAGAGACTTCTTTGGGGACCGAAAGATGATAACAAAAAATTGGATTGTATTAACTAGAGAACCGTGCTTAAAGGCAAGAAAAATGGAGGTCTTTTGCGTTGGAAGTATTTTCATTTCTAGTCTATCCCTTCTCATAACATGGGCCTATAAATTCAAGAGCGAGCTTAACACCCCATGGGCGGAAGTAATTAAATTAATTTATGGAGTCAATGGTGGTTTTTCTTCAGAACAAGAGGTTTCGAGTAGGTGTAGTCCGTGGGCCAGTGTGATTTTGGTAGTGAGATCGTTGAGGCTTCTTCACATTAATTTCGACGAGTTGTGTTTGAAACAGATCGGGAATGGTCTTAATACGGATTTTTGGACCGATACTTGGAGGCGATCCTGTCCGTTTTCTCTAGTTTTCCTAGAATTTTCGCTCTAGAAAATGATAGACAAGCAACTATAGTAGATAGGACTAAGACGAAAAACTCTTGGTCTTGGTGAAGACCCCTCCAGGATGGTAGAGAATTGGAGGATCTCGATCAATTGAGGGAGGTTATCGAGGGCTTTAGTCTGATCGAGAATCCCTACACATGGTCTTGGTCTCTAAATGCCAATTGGTTATTTTGTGAGTTCCTTGAGATTTATCACTGAGAAAGCATAGGGGTCGACAAAAAAGAGATAGTATGGAACTCTATGATCGACTCCTCCTAGAGTCAACATATGTATGTGGCGGGTTATGCTTGATAGAATCCCAAACCGAGATAACTTACTGAAGAGGAAGATAGATATTGGTTCAACATTATGTCTAGTATGTGGGTCAGATATCGAAACCTCTAGGCGTGTTTGATGTTCGACTGCGAAATGGCTTCGGACATCTAGTGGTTTTTTAAGCGATGGTGGTCTTTCCATTTTCCCGCTTTCAAGTCAATGGAGGATATAATTGATGACATTAGATCTACAAACCATCATGGGGCTGTTAAGACAACTTGGGAAGTGGTCTTTTTCATTGGGTGGTACATATCGTGGTGTTTTAGAAATAGATGTAATTTTAATTGTCTTCCCTCTTGTAACGATTCCATAATTGATCAAATTGTAGAAAAGTCTTATAGTTGGGTTTTAGCTAGGTGCAAGGAGAGTGTAAGAGATCCGTTATTGTGGAGGTTCCATCCTATTAACTTGTTTCAGGTCATTATAATGTTCTATTTTTACTATCAACTTGCTGGTTGTTTAAAAAAATTATATGAAATTAACAATTTTAA